AATAGATGGCAAGATACCTTTTTTGGATGTCCTAATTAAAAAGAGACCTGATGGTTCAATGAGCCACTCTGTCTACAGGAAAGCTACCCATACGGATGCTTATCTGAAACCGGATTCCCACCACCATCCATCACAGAAGAATTCTCTCATCAAGACTCTGTATCATAGAGCCCAATGCATATCCGACCAGGAACACATAAGCAGTGAACTCAAGCACGTACACCAAGCTCTTAGGGCTAATGGTTACTCCGACTATACAATCCGCAAAGCTATCACTCAAACCATGAAGAAGAACCCTCTTGAGGAGCCTTTCAAAACCATCACTTTACCCTACATTGCTGGGATCACAAAAAAGATCTCCAAAATCTTGAATAAACACAAGATCCAGGTCCGTTTCAACACATTACATAAAATCCGTGATCTGGTTCCGTCTGTAAAAGATGTGATTCCGGACATACAATACCCTGGTGTCTACAAACTAAGTTGCCTCTGTGGTAGTAGTTACATTGGAGAAACCAAACGCCATATCTCGGACCGCATTCGTGAACATAAAGCAGACCTTAAACACGGTAGGACCAACACCTCGGCCGTAGCAGATCATTGTTCTAATTCAGTAGGCTCACATGCCATTGACTTTTCCAAGACGGAGGTTCTTTGTAAGCCATCTGGCTTCCATGAGAGATTCGTTCATGAGGCTATCCACATATACAAACACAGAGACAATTTCAACCGAGAAGATGGATTCTATCTTAGCAATCATTGGAAAGATTTGATAAATCATTTCACTTCTTGATTGATTGTTCACGCTTACAGTGGCTTTCAGACAGCATACATAAAAACAAATTTCGTCTCCCCCCTCCTCTTTTCAAAAAATAGATGGACTAGTCCTGGGCAAACTGCCAATCGTTGCGCGTGACGCAAACGTTTTTTTATATATATAAATAAATATGCCGTTTTCAAAATAAATTTATGCAAACCGACACACCTGATGATGACCGTTTGAGTTATGGTCGAAACGTCGTGAGAATTTTTTATTGTTTTATATATATTTTGTTATTTTGTTGTTTCTCTTCAACGTGACTTTACCGAAAAAACTAAGAATATAGACTACTATACATTACAATATTATACCTTCCAATCTAAACTACATTGTATAATATCGTATACACAGCCCAATGCAAGCTCTAACATTATGCATTATATTGATATGCCTCCAACTAAACTTTTTTCTAAATTACACGACTATGCACCGTAATATACACTGCCATAGACAAACCCCACCCTTGAATTATATAATGCCTTACTATACACGACCCTATACTTTAGACTATAAAATATTAGACTTGTAATATTACACTATATATTATTCTACCAACCCTACTGTATACCACACTGCTGTATATTCACTATACAATTACGATACTATATATTGCCTTATTAAGTATGTTAAACATTACAATGTTATACTATTTATTATTATACAACATGCTATAAACCATACCATTGACCGTCGTGTGAAAGGTATTAAGAGGCAGTGCCAGCGAATGGACTGCGGTCTGACAGTCACCGTAAAATACAATCAATCAAGAACCGAAATGGTTTATTACGTCTTTCCAATGGTTACTAAGTCAGAATCCATCTTCTCGGTTGAAATTGTCTCTGTGTTTGTATATGTGGATGGCCTCATGAACGAATCTCTCATGGTAGCCGGATGGCTTGCAGAGAACCTCTGTCTTGGAGAAGTCAATGTCATGTGAGCCCACTGAATTATAACAGTGATCTGCCACGGCTGAGGTTTTCGTTCTACCGTGTTTCAAGTCTGCTTTATGTTCATGGATGCGGTCCGAGATATGTCGTTTGGTTTCTCCAATGTAGCTGCTACCACAGAGGCAACTTAGTTTGTAGACGCCCGGGTACTGTATGTCTGGAACCACATCTTTTACCGATGGAACCAGATCACGGATTTTATGTACTGTGTTGAATCGGACCTGGATCTTGTGTTTATTCAGGATTTTGGAGATTTGTTTTGTGACCCCCGCAATGTAGGGTAAGGTGATGGTTTTGAATGGCACCTCAAGAGGATCCTTCTTCATGGTTGGAGTGATGGCTTTGCGGATTGTGTAGTCGGAGTAACCATTAGCCTTGAGAGCTTGATGTACGTGCTTGAGTTCACTGGCAATGTGTTCCTGGTCGGAGATGCATTGGGCTCTATGGTATAGAGTCTTGATGAGGGAATTCTTCTGGGATGGATGGTGGTGGGAATCCGGTTTTAAGTAAGCATCCGTATGGGTAGCTTTCCTGTAGACAGAGTGGCTCATTCAACCATCAGGTCTCCTTTTAATTAGGACATCCAAAAAGGGTAGCTTGCCATCTTTTTCGACTTCCATGGTAAATCTGATGGCTGGGTGTATGGAATTGATGTGGTCGAGGAATTGGTCTAGAGCAGGCCGGCCATGTGGCCAGATGACAAAAGTGTCATCCACATACCTCTTCCATAAGGTCGGGCGTAGAGTGGCAGTCTGGATGGCGTCACCAGTTCACTCACGTGTTGCACACAATGAGGCAGAGTCACACCTTGACGGAGAGGCCAAAGATCATCGTCTGGGCTGCTTGCCACGTGGTTGTTGATGGAGACATTCCCTCTCATTGATTAAAAAAGTCCGGCTATACCGCGGGCATATTAACCATACATATATAAATATAGGATAAATAAACTGTCCCGGTATTCTGAAGCTTTTGTTAAAATTATGATATCAATAAAACATTTAAACCAGGGTTCATGCTACGAGCAATGTGTGTGGGGCCGCGTCCCCTGTGAGCATCGCTGTAGAATCAACGTGGGGGAGATGTTGAGTGGCTGCCAACTCACCAAGTGTTCCGATTGAGCCCCCCTTTAATTAACAAGAGATTGAATTCACACAGATTGGTGAGAGTGCACATTTGCTCAATAATTTGAAAGATGACAACAACATGTTGGTATATGATTAACAAACGTGGGGTAAATTGGCTTAACTGCTGCCTTTTAGTCATTTTTGAAATATTACAATCGGTACAAAATTGTGTGTTTGTGCGTATAACTCTCCGTGTGTTTAACCAACAGAGGAGCAACAGGGCAGACTCTGCCACAGACAATTCGGACCGCACCTACACGTCGCTGACAATTCTGCCCGCTGTCTACGAGACCATCCGTCCACCGGAAATGGAACGTGAAGAGGAATACTCAGATGTCGCGTTCATTGGTAACTCCCTACGCGTGCTGTAACGCGTGTTTTTCACAACGCCGGTCAGACACAACGCGATGGAGTGAACAGAACTACGTCCCAGCGGCAGTAGGAATGCACGTTGGTATGGCTGCTTCGTCATAGCATCGCACTACAAGGCAGGATACTGCTGGATGCTTTCTAGATGCTGCCCACCACGCGCCACAGTCTTTGTTCAGCCTGCGAACGCATCTCACGTGTTATATCAGGCTGTGCTTTACCCTATATTAAAAATTACCATAAGAAGCGCATGTTTTGAGCTATGGCCCATTGTCATCATCATAAGTAACATTTGCAGCATTTTCAGTTACAGATCCTATTTTGCAGAGCGGAGCCCCTCAGGGTCACCACCTAAAATATTCGCTTCATATATTTTTCAATAGCCAGGTAGTAATAATGACAAATGTCATCGTTTTGAATGTAATATTTATCTTAATATAGGTGGAAATATGTTGAACTTCTGTCACACTGTACGTAGCCAAACACGCTAATCGGATATGCAACGGGAATTCTTTCCGGAGTGAAAACAACAAAACTCGTCATATTATTATTCCAATTGACAAGTGTGTTGAGTTTGTGTTCCTTGGTAGTTAAAGTGTAGTCTCAGTAGCATTCACCACAAGCTCTCAGTCGTGGTGGCGGATGGAGCAATGAAGAAGAGAGATACCGATCCGCGACAGTGACAACAGTTAAACGCGTGCAGCTATTACCACGTGGATAGAGTATAAATACGCAAGGAGATGGACATCAAGAGTCGCTAAAATCTACAATCTATGATCTATGTTTTTTTATTTTAACAGGTAAGGTCTTTTTCAGATGCGACCTGGCCACAAACGATAGCTCAATTGAGTGGCTTATCACGTGGAAATGTATAGCAGCTACGTATTATAAAAGAATGTTGATTATAAATGTGGAGGGGCACAATTGGAGGACCCGGAGAAAAATCCACACGACCACGGCGAAAGAGAGAACATGCAAACTATAGCCCCGCCCACTTCCTCCTCCGGTCTTCACAAGCAGCCTCCCACTTCTAGCCCCGCCCACTTCCCCCTCACGTCTTCACACGCAACCTCCCAATTCTAGCCCCGCCCACTTTCCCGCCGGTTTTCACACGCAGCCTCCCACTTCTAGCCCTGCCCACTTTCCCTCACGTCATCACACAGAGCCTCCCCACTTCCAGCCCCGCCCACTCCTCCCTCATGTCTTCACACGCAGCCGTCTACTTTCAGCCCCGCCCACTCCTCCCTCATGTCTTCACAGCTTCAAATCAAGATCAAACTACACATATACAGGCATCAAGGTCGGGTTCGAACCCACGACCTCCTGGATTCCACTTGGGGCAAATTTCGCTCCGAGTCCTCCCGTTTTCCCTCCGTATATAGAAACATGCGTTTAGTTTATTTGGCTAGCTATGAATGTCCACATGGTCGCTTCATAAAAAGAGCTATTTACCTAGGTGAGCATTACCTGGTAAAAAAATAATATATAGTTTATTTTTAGTTTATTTCATACATGCCAAGTGAAATTGAATATCTCAAGAATATTACCGTCGGGACATTTACGAATAGGTTATTGAATAAAATAAATAAATCAGATTCAAATCTACATTTTAAGATAAAGTTTATCGTGTTTAACGAGGTGGAAATTCAAGACACCAGGATAGTCATCTCACGCGCAAGAGCTGGGCCTAGAGTCTGCCAGGAGGGGGCGATGGCTGCTGATACGGGCAGTCCACGACACACGAACGGGGTTACGTTAGGAAGTCGGCAGGTTCGTAAGTTGCAACACAATAATGTAACGGATTTAAATGTCCATGCGGTCAGTGCTAAGAAATGCGTTTTGGTTAAACACAAAAGGGAAGCATTGTTAAACTCATAAATAAGAAATGTAGTACATCTGCATGTAACACTGTGATAAAATACTGTCGATGTATAATTAAAGACCTTCAGGAAAAAACCTTAAAATCCGTAATTTTTCCATTTTAAGGTCCCCAAATCTCGATTTGCGACGATCTGTGCTCCCATCAACGAGATAATGAGCGCTTTATTTTCTGGCAGCGCAAGCTCACAGCACCTCGCGGTCGTAGGCGTCAGGTTCAGACCACACGTGGAAAACACGTCGAAGAGGGAACCGCAAAAGACGAACACCCAAGCGAAAAACTTTCCGCTCAACGCCAAGATGGGGAAGTTGGAAGGCCGAATTTTGGCATAAAACGGCACACGAGGAAGTGAGGGCCGAGCAGTTGGAGAAGAGGCTGTCGAGAGCGGTCTCCCTGGGCATGGCCGGGTCGTGCTGTTGGTCACGTGCCGCCTGTCTCGTCGCTCTGTGGGCTGCTGTCGTGAGTGAGTAACTCCCGCTGACTGGGCACTTTCTTTTCACGCACAGCTCCGAGGTGGCCACGGGTTTACAGATCACAGAGCGCATGGTCTGCACCTCGGAGTTCCTGGGGTTCTAAATCCGCGCTGCTGCCCGTTATTACACCGGGTTCTCAAGTGTAGCGAGTCGATGGTCTAAGATCAGTCACCCGTGCCTGCACTTAATTCGATTAATTTCAGCGCTGAGAATAAAAAAAATAGGTGTTCCTGGCTGGTGAGGACAATTACTAATACAAGGAGTGGGTGGGAAGGTACTACGGGTCGACTACGTGAACCAGGTCACTTGGAGGAATCTCAGAGGTAACTCTGTGAACTCCCTTTCTGTGGATCGTTCTCCAGCGGGAAGAGGTGGCACTCCCTTGCGAGACATTCGAATGGATTCTTCTCATGGCACAACACCGATTGCGCAATCGGGATAGCAATGATATATTTTATCGTATTAAATAGTATAGTGAAAAAAAGGGCAGATGTCAAGTACGGGCGAAAATTATCAGTGGGGGGAACTTTGTTTTGTCCTGATGAATGCATCTCGAGAGAAGATATCCAATGACGCTCGCCAGTTTGCAACGCCACCAACTCTCTCATCGCAAGGTGCCTAGGGGCAGGCTGAGCCATCGGACAGCCAGATAGTCTCCGATAATCCATCAGTGGAGGTGCTACCCGATGCTCTCTACCAACTGATATCTGAAATCCTATCTTCCAGCGACAGCTTTAAGTTAATGCTTGTGCTTACATTTCCTTTACTTTACACTTCTGTCGTGTTTTTTTGTATTGTTTGTTGTTGTTACTTTCTGACCCTGTGCTCCCTACTGGACATCTGTGAAAAAGAGCTGTATTGCTCATCGGAATCATCCTGGGGTATTAACAAAATAATCTGGTTCAGATTTAGGGGTGGACAGAGGCAGGCGAAAGTGAGGAAAGTGCCCATTGTTCTGTCATGCCAGGGGATAGAACTGGCAACCTTTGGATCGCAAGTCCGGGCGCTAACCAGCTCACCGCAGCAGCACCCCCGTTATTTTAACAACAGAAATACATATAAAGATGGTAACAAAGTTCATCAGATTTTTTTCAAACATACTTACATGTTATTATTTATCCTGATGCAACATTGGATGTGTTTCTTAGCAACATATGAATGATGTTGAGTTTTGTCACGCTTTGCAGGCAATGCCGACCCAAAATACGTAGATGATGCCAAAGCGAAGTATCATCAAACTATCCTGCTGCCCTGTCGGACAGAATGCCATGGACCTGTTATCGTTGATCGATGGAATATAGACATTAATGGTGTATTTCAAGACTTTGAACATTTGCATGACAAAAACATTGGCAAAACCAAATACATTGACAACAAAAACGCTTCCCTGACCATTCAAAATCCTGAGTGGGAAGGAATGAGATGGTACAGATGTTACTGGTCATGTCAAAATCAAGACTCTCTTAACATGTATTCTGATATATCTATTTTTCTAATCAAAGGTAAGTTACGGATTATGCAACTTAACACGCCCACTTAACACAATATATGAAGAGACATGAAACTGACCAAAAGTCACGACACATTTAATTTATTTATCTAATTAAAGTTTTCTTTGTTAATCTATTTAACTGATGCAGGTTCAATGGCACATACGCTGTAATCAATGCAACTCAGTAATGCTAAGATATACGATTGTTGAAGGAGTCGATTACTCTACCGATTATCATTTCGAATGCTCGACTAATCAGAAAACAGTAAAAGTTTGGAGAGAGAAAAAATATCTCACCTGTGTCCATATGTGTGCCGCTGGACGGAAAGTGATGGGCGAGGCGTGCGATGTCATTTGGCATCACCAGCATAGCTTGTCGGGAGTTTACTGCCAAACGCCATGTGCATGTCCTCTGCACTGAAGGGCTTTGGCATGTTGAATGTTGTTTTACCTACTCTTTGGTTCTTTCGGTACAGTCACGTAGGTATAAAATCAAATTAAAATAAACAACATCACGACGTTTCGGGCGCGACACAAGTGCCCGTCATCAGGAGGAAACAACCCCAGCAATAACCAAATTGCTGCAATAGGCAAAAGGAGGCTGCTTGTGACAACGAGGTTAAATATATGTAAGAGGGGGGGGGAGGAGCCAGGGAGGAGAGATAGAGGGGGTGGGGGTGTGGGATGGGGGGAGTGGCGAAGTGCAAGCTCCAACCTGAGCCCGAGTACAACACAATGAGAAGTGCGAAGTCCAACCCAGGCCCGAGCTCGACACAATGCCGGGCTGGGAAGTGAGCGGGAATGAAGGGTTGGAGGCTGAAGAAACTGGCGATGCGGATATGAAGGCAAACTATAAATCAGATAAGGTTTTACCTTTTTAATAACATCCTTCCAATGATTTCTCAATTTGTACCCATCTTGTCGGTTGAAGTTATGTCTATGTTTATATATCTGGATGGCTTCATGAACAAACCTTTGATAGTAGCCCGAAGGTTTGCAGAGCAACTTTGTCTCGGAAAAAACGATATCCTGAGAGCCCACAGCGTTATAGCAATGGTCAGCCACGGCAGAGGTATTAATCCTGCCGTGTTTCAGATATGCCTTGTGCTCGTGAACACGGCATATGTCGGACCGTGTTCGCGAGCACAAGGCAGAACTAATACCTCCGCAGTGGCTGACCATTGCTATAACGCTTTGGGCTCTCATGATATCGTTTTTTTTCCAATACCAAGTTGCTATGCAAGCCTTCGGGCTACTATCAAAGGTTTGTTCATGAAGCCATCCAGATATATAAACATAGACATAACTTCAACCGACAAGATGGGTACAAATTGAGTAATCATTGGAAGGATGTTATTAACCAGGTAAAACCTTAACTGCTTTATAGTTTGCCTTCATATCCGCATCACCAGTTTCTTCAGCCTCCTACCCTCCAGTCCCGCTCACTTCCCAGACCCGGCATTTTGTCGTACTCGAGCTCCGGTTGGACTTCGCACTTCTCATTGTGTTGTACTCGGGCTCAGGTTGGAGCTTGCACTTCGCCACGCCCCCTACCCCACACCCCCACCCCCTCTATCTCTCCTCCCCCCCCTCCCCCCCTCTTACGTATATATAGCCTCGTGTCACAAGCAGCCTCCTTTTGCCCATTTCAGCAATTTGTTTATTGCTGGGGTTGTTTCCACCTGATGACGGGCACTTGTGTTGCGCCCGGAACATCGTGATGTAATTTATTTTTAATTTTATTTTATGCTTACGTGACTTTACCGAAAGAACCAAAGAGTATGGATCATTGGAGTCACGAAAACATCAGATCGAGTTTTTTTACCTATTTAATTTTGAAAATTAAGGAACTTGTGAATGCTGTTGTGACTCCAGAACAAGGGTTTAAATCAGTGTGTACCACCTATTGTGACGTGTGGGTTGTAAACATGGTCATGAAAAAAACAAGTGGAACAGAAGCTGAAGAGTGCACAAAAAAGCACTGAGAGATGTATACACTTGGATTTACTTTTAAAGACGGAAAGGGGGAACGCATAGATTCGAGAACATACACAGGTTAGTGATTTTGTTCAAACTGTTAAGGACAGTAAGTGGACTTTGGCAGCACACGTCACGAAATGAAACTATTTAATTTTTAAAAAATGTACATTTATAGGTCAACAAAGTGGATTATCACGCGGAAATTCACAGCAGCCACATTCTCTAAACGCCTGCTGATTCCAAACACTGGAGAAAAAAAAACGGAGAACCCGGAGAAAATTTCACGCCACCACGGGGAGAGAGACACACTCCAAATATGCAGACATCAAGGTTGTGATCGAACTCACGACCTCCTGTATACTAGGCGAGGGAGTTAACATCTTGCCACCTGGGCATTGGGTGGGGCTATTTGGAGTGTGGGCCGGACGGCGTGAGTAGTGGGCAGGGCTACGTGAGCAGTGGGTGGAGGTGGAGAAGAGAGTGTGGCCAATATCAGAAAGGGTCAATCACTGTGTGGGTGGGGCTAGTGGGTGAGTAGGCGTGGCTCTTGAAAAGTGGGCGGGGCTGATGGAGGGGCTGCCGGCCCACCAAGTGTCTGAGTTGAGCTTCGCAGACATTTGGGCGCCTGAGACAAAGGGGCACTCGGAGTTTGATTATTAAAGCAATGTTGGTGAAATGTGCTTATGTATGTCTGCAGATGTTAAGACGAACAACATTATCGGTGCTAAAGTTGGTGAAAAGATCTCGATTCCCTGCCGAGGCAATTCTGAAAGCAGAATCACTGAAAGCGTTGAATGGCACTTTGCTCTACCAGGACAACCATACTACCCCGTCAACATGGTCAGTGGAAGAAAACACTCCATCGATAATAACAAATCACTGCTCATTCACAATCTCCAGAAGAAAGATGCAGGATTTTACCTGTGTGAGCTGAAGAATGTCAAGGATTTCTACGAGACGAAAGTCAACATAATCCGAGGTAATGCATGAAAATGAAGCTACATTACGACACGTGGACACAGCTTTAGGTTACGAATGATTTTGTAAAAAACAAACCTGCTAGCGAGTCGCCTTTAGTGGAACCAAGACTCAAAAATGCCAAACGTCAAGCAAATGCCCCAATTGACACAATTGTGAGTGCATGCTTACGGTCATGGTATCCACCATATGGATATACTACGATACATCATGAAGTAAAATAAATAATGTATAGTGTTCGGAATAAATTTAATTAATTTTTCGCGGAATAGAAAGTACGTGGGTCGTAAAGATTATAGATTGTCAAGTGAGCATGATGAGACTCGTGGCCGGCTAGTGTTAGTGAACTGCAGTTGGGGAGCGTTCACGCCACAAAGTAAATCTTCATCCGTGCCGGAAGTACAGAAATGCATGAAAAATGCAATGAAATGTTAAATATATTGACAAAGTTACAAGAAACTATAGCGTGATAATCGTAATATCGTGAACTTTGTTGAAACTGGAAACCTAGTATGAACCAATTGTCTGAGAGGAGGCGCTTACCTCCAATAGGCAATGAAATCCAGCCTCACCCACTTCAACACCCAAGGCCATTTAAACTCGTATCTATGAACAAAAAAGTAATAATACACAAATAATGTAGCAAATACATTCGTCCATCACCAACTCCTCAACGTACCACGCGGCACGCTCCACTCACCTGACACTCACCTGACACTCACCTGCACCGTTAAACTTATCGATGCAACCTGTGTGGAAATTGTTTGAACAATAGCGCTCCAAGAGATTTATGTGAAGCACAATTACTACAACATGAACAACAAAACAATTCAGACCTTTGCCAATCTGCTGCTGGATGAAGGCCACCGCGCACCGTGTGATCGTGGGTAAAGTTTGACCATACTTCACCACGCTGGTTAGTGTGAGTCTTGAAGCAGAGGGGCCCACGGCTGACTGAGAAATTGCTTATCCCTGATCTTACGTATGGCTGGCAAAGGAACTTGGGCTACGCGGTTCATTGCCCAGTGTTCTATCCATCGTGCCGCCATTGTCACACCGCCTTTTAAATCGTTCCGGTTTTCAAGAAGTGTTCAGATCGTTGCTAAGCCGTAGCGCTTCCACCAAAATAGAAAACATGTACTGCACACTGCACATACCAAGGCGAGTGCGACAACTGGATTAACACCTTGGCATGTTTTAATTTGACATTTTTCATTATTATTACTCAACAGATCGTCCACCTGCCACCACTCTTGCTTCTTCCACTACAGCAAATGCAGGTGATTATATGTCTTTAATGAGTAAACTTTACACATTTTAGCATTCATAATAGTATTCGCCATGGTGTTTGAATAGAAATACCCACAGGAATATCATCATCAACCGTTCTTTATCCATTGCAGGATGAATGTGTTCCCAAATTGTCGGTACTTTCCCAACAATAATAATTCAAATGTATAATGCGCAATCCATCCCAGGATTCCAATGTGCAACAAACTAAACGCAAAAATCAGTTCCGAAAAATTGAGTTTGTCAATGAAGATGATGATTTAAAATGCATAGCTCCCAGTGGCTTCTTAATATCGGAAGGAAGAGCATTCCAGACGGACACAAAACTGCATCTGAAAGCGTCGTGCGATTCGGTGACCACCGTCTTTGATCGATGGCTGAGCCAAAAGCTGCTGCAAGGACGACCGGAGTTGGCGTGATGGTTTATACTCATTTACGAGATCAGCGAGGTAGTGTGGTTCATTTGTGGCAAGTACTTTGTGTAGTGTTCGACTTTACGCGGACAACTTTGTCTTTCTTCGAACACCGCTTTATTTACAACATTCAACGTCCTCCACACTCCACAGTATCCTGGTCACCACGGCTCACTCACCGTGCTCCGCTCGTCTCGCTCACTACCTTTGTCTCCCCACTATCACTTCACTTGCTTCGTGCACAAGGTGTCTAAGCACACAGCGACTTTGCACACTCCGCACACTGCTAACTACTTCATCTTGCTTCAGCTTCGCTATCGCTACACTCACTCCAATGCTAGCTACGTCGTCTTGCTTCACACTCTGTTCCAACTCAGTCTCCAAACTCCGTCTCCAAACTCCGTCTCCAAACTCCGTCTCCAAACTCCGCCTCTAAACTCCGCCTCCAAACTCCGCCTCCAAACTCCGCCTCCCAGCTCTGCCTCCAAGCTCCGCCTCCAAACTCCGTCTCCAAACTCCGTTTCCAAACTCCGTCTCCAAACTCCGTTTCCAAACTCCGTTTCCAAACTCTATTTCTACGCTGTTTCCAACTCCACGTCTTCCTCGTCCAACTCCAACTCCCCACTCTCTGTGTGTCTCCCCCAATTTATCCCAATTCTCATTATCGCTAATTAATTGGCCCTCTTGCCTCGCACGCTTCGCGTCCTCAAACACCTGCCTTTCTCCAGACATCTTGACGCCTTCTCGCCCTTGACAACAGCCACAGCCAATCACCGTCGTTGCTGATCCTCTGGCTTAATTGGCCCAACAGTAACCTCATCATCCCAGCCTTTGCACCTGGCTGTCCTAACACGACCCACACTGTTTTCGCCTTCTCCACAGGCTGACCCCAGATAACCCACACTGTCCGTGTGATCATGCAATCGCGCAGTTTCCACAACACACTTTCGTTCTCCACTACATTTGTAATGAGTGCGACATTTTAATATATGAATAATATTCATTTACTTTTCACACCGATGGTTGTTCAATGGATTGCTTAGTTTCCTCTGTTTAGGTGATATACCACATTACAATCCACCATCCCATGTCTTTGCTTCGATTTAAGTTATTTCGATGAATGTTCTGGTTTTCATGAACGCATCATGGGCATAATACCGGGCTATGCCTGTTTTACTTATTTGAGTATTAATCAAAGCAAAATATTCCCCTCCTGGCAGATTCTACTCTCCTATTAAACGACGCCTTGTCGATAACATTGACACTTTAAGAATGCCACTAATACCACATACATATATAATTGTAAATCGAATTGGTAAAAAAAAAACGTGCAACACGTGTTGGCGAGTGCCGTACCAGTAGCAGTCTTGCAAGTGCCGTGGTGCTGACATTCACAGTTGCACAGACACATACACATAGCTCCAGTTAGGCTCTGCCCCTCTCTGCAGGACCATCTGGGGTGGACCTCACCCCGGTGTACAATCGCTGTCTCGGTGGTCGTGTGCATAGCGATCGCGTGCGGGGCTGCCTGCTACGCCCGGAAGCAATGGAAGATCGGGGTCCGTGTCACCGTTCGCAAAGCCACTGCTCACACGTAGACATCTCAATGCATCATTGCAGGTGGCACGGAGGTAGCGACAGAGGCTGCCAATCATCCCAGCTTGGCCCGGAACAGTCTTTTGGCGTTCTCTGGCCATAAAAAAATGCTGTCTCTAGTGTAGGTCACGCAGTTTCAAAGAGAATACGTATATTTTCAGATAATGTTTGTTTGCAAGTTCACAACAAGTGCTTTGTGTGGTTAATGCAGACTTGATTACGTGCAAAAGTATGTATTTGGTATTCAGATATTATAACACCTTCTGGTAACACCTGTTCTTATTTTTCATTGTTCCATTCTTAGGATAAATAAACTGTCCCGGTATTCTGAAGCTTTTGCTAAAATTATAATATCAAAAAAAACATTTAAACCAGGGTTCGTGCTACGAGCAATGTGTGTGGGGCCACGTCCCCTGTGAGCATCGCTGTAGAATCAACGTGGGGCAGATGTTGAGTGACTGCCAACTCACCAAGTGTTCCGATTGAGCTCCCCCTTAATTAACAAGAGATTGAATTCACACACAGATTGGTGAGAGTGTACATTTGCTCAATAACTTGAAAGATGACAACAACATGTTGGTATCTGATTAACAAACGCGGTGGAAAATTGGCAAAGCCGCTGCCTTTTTTTCATTTGGGAAAAATTAAAATCGGTCCAAAATAGTGTGTGTTTGTGCGTATAAACACATTCCTGCGGAGGGAGCTGGTAGGAACGTTGGGTTGCTCGGTCAATGGCCAGGGTCAACGGCGGCGTGGTGTATTCCGCAAATATGCCCGACTGTGAGGGTGGCAACAAGTTGGCGTGAGTAGGTTAAACGTTGAGTTTTATAAGGGAACCACGGGGTGACCAGCCCCTCCCTAACCAGCCCCACCCCTCCCACCCCCCAACCAGCCCCACCCTCCCCACCTAGCCCCTCCCTCCCCACCCAGCCCCTCCCTACCCTCCCCTCTCCACCCAGCCTCACCCCTCCCATTTTTGGATGCACGACGGACGGACACAATAATCCCCTGTGGGCTAGAGTAACCAGAGGTTCCTACCAGTATAACTCTCCGTGTGTTTAACCAACAGAGGAGCAACAGGGCAGACTCGGCCACAGAAAACGCGGACCGCACCTACACGTCGCTGATAATTCCGCCCCCTCTCTACGAGACCATCCATCCATCGGAAACGGAACCTGAAGAGGAATAGGCAGATGTCGTGTTCATTGGTAACTCCCCCTACGTGTGCTGTAACGCATATTTTCTAGATGCTACCCACCACGCGCCACAGTCTTTGTTCAGCCTGCGAATGCATCTCACGTGTTATCGCAGACTGTGCTTTACCCCATATTAAAAATAATAACGCGATTATTCCCGAACGCGTTGTTCCTAAGGAACGCATCTACCGCGTTATAGGAGAAGGGACTCTGCAGTCATTAACGTCAGTTCACTGATGGAGAAGCACCTCAGCAAAGCTAAACGATCATGGAGGTTATCCGGGCTATACCGTAGTACACATGCTGAAATGTTGAAGGTGGGGAGAATAGACTTTTTGCGAAGGGTTAGGAAACACCAATGCATTCCTCTGCACTGGTCTCTACAACACGAGTACAACTCTTCAATACTCGCCGAGCTTCTCCACACTACTCGTTAGGAGGATTCTGCATTTACTAATGAGCTCGCTATATACCCACTGAGGCTCGCCACATTACCAGAAGGCATGTGCATTACTATGTTGTATATGCCGGGTATGAAAATTTGATGAAAATAATAAAAATTAAATGAAATTTGGAAAAATGTGTAATTGTCAGAAATTATATTAATTGATGTAATTATGCGCATAAATTATGCTAGTTCGAGAGATAATCGTATTAATGTTTGCGAATGCGTGCGATTATGCTAATGTACACAGTTATGATAATTAGGCTCAACCTCGTTGTCGAGGGCAGTATTATCAATTGGTATCGTACAATTATTCTCTCTTTAACATTTACTGATTATGTATTAGTGTTAATGTCAGGTCTCCAAATTCAAATCTCACAGCAGGATACAGTTCTTATAATTAAGATTATTATACATGAACTCAGGAAAGAAACACAAACACTTCTGTGTTAGGCAATTGCAATTTCTAAACAAAACCTTAACACTCTAATATGCGAACTATCATGCTTGGAATTACCCCCCGGTACCATCGGGGAATTTTCCCTCAGTGAGCAGTACATTTAACCATCAATGGTTGCGTTGTTTCACTTTGGCAACCGCACATATGATTAATTCCACCACGTAACACGAGCTTAGTTGGTCATAGGGAGAGTCTTTAAAACAGGCATGCAACGATATTCTAAACAAAAACCTTAACTCTCTAATATGCGAATTCTTATGCTTGAAATTGTCCACACAGTACTCCAGGAGATGTTCCCCTCATTGATCCATACATTCAACCCTCAATTATCACGTTGTCAATTGGGTAACAGATCAATGATTACTTCAGAGTACACGAGCATATACGGCAAATCGGAATAAAAGTCCTTAAAAAATACTTCTAAATGATCATATCCACGTAACTCAATGGGCAGCAATGTTCTTCACGATCAGTTGATATTTAATGCACCACCTTGGAATGGCAACCCTTCTTGATTTGTCCCGATATGCGTGTTGTGTGTCTTCGTAAAGCAGATCCCGGGTGATGCGTCGTGTGGGTGCGAGTGTGGGGGAGGGTCACACAAACTGCTTCTTTCTCGCTCTTGCTTGGGGCGTCGGCTTAGCTGCCCATCTGCTGGCCGATACAGGCTCTTTCCACTGCTGGAGGGGCTGCACCGCACGCGCCCCCTCCTTGAAGATGCTCGATCGTGCTCGCCGCTGGTCCGCTGACACTCTTGCTCACGGGCGGCTGGTCAGGCTCTTTCCCCTGCTGGACGAGCCGAGTCGGCACAACGCTTGTCCGCTGGCAGCTGGCACCCTTGCTTGGCCCTCTCCGCCCTTTCTCGAGGTGGATTGCTTGACGCTGAGAATACTTTCAGCGATACTCTGTCGGCCCATGCCGATCTCAGCACAGAGCATCACCTCGCCCCTCTTCTCTGCGATGCACCACACGCATTGTTGATCTCGAGGCCATGCTCCGGGGCTCGCCGCTCGCCGCCCTCTTCTGTCGCTCGCCGAGCTGTCCCTTGTCGAGCTGAATTGTCGAGCTGAACTGTGTGTGTCGTGTTGCTGTTTATATCCGAAAAAATCTCCCCTCTGCGCGTCTCTTGCGAGAGGACAGAAAAACAGATGTTTACTCCGTCATGCTCTTCCCTCGCGGCCGCGCCTGACTGCCTCCGTCCCCTCTTCCCTAGGTGACCCCGGGCGGCTGCTTTACATCAATTTGATGTTGTTTGTGAAATGTCCTTTGGCAATCTGGAGATTTCTAGATAGTCACTAACCTCCCTTTGCCCCGGAGTTTATTATTTAATGGCCTTTTACGAGCTCCAGCTGCTTGGTGCTTGTGGGAGGTAGCGAGTTTGAGGGTGTTTAAATTATTTATTTTATAACTTATTATAAAAAATTGGCAGAATTATTTTTTATATTCATTTTTGGGAAAAGGCCTATATATACAACTATCAGGGGAATGTTGGGTGAAACAGGAGGCTTGGGTTTGGGACATTTTTGTACGTTAGCCAATAATTGATCATAGAACCCAAGAGGGCATTGTACTACTAAGAAAAAATGGAAAGTAAAATAAGTTATTAAAGGGTAAAAAAAATGTTTTCATAATATTACCCACACTATGATGGCAACGTAATATCTGCCATTAACTTGAAAAGAGATACAAGTTAACGGTTGCGGATTACAAACAACAACAACGAACTGCCTTTAAGGTACCCCGCTGATGAGCCTCTTGCTTTATTCTTCTCAACAGACGAGTGAATGTTGCGACATCAATGGCTCCATCCGGGTTGGATGAACTCTGGCTCCCGTGACCTGCAGCTGGCTCTGAGATCTGGGGTCACTGGAGCTGTGGTTTATGCAGCTGAGGTGACTGGAGGTGAAGTCATTGAAAGTGAAGTCACAGGAACTGCGATTACTGCAGCTGGGGTAACTGGAGCTGGGGTCACTGGAGCTGAGGTCACTGGAGCTGAGGTCACTGGAGCTGGGGTCACTGGAGCTGGGGTCACTGGAACTGGGGTCACTGGAGCTGGGGTCACTGGAGTTGGGGTCACTGCAGCTGGGGTCACTGGAGCTGGGGTCACAGGAGCTGAGGTCACTGGAGCTGGGGTCACTGGAGTTGGGGTCACTGGAGCTGGGGTCACTGGAGCTGAGGTCACTGGAGCTGAGGTCACTGGAGCTGGGGTCACTGAGGCAAACATTATACCGTAAGAAGCGCATATTTTGAGCTATTGCCCATTGTCATCATCCTACAATCATCATAAGTAACATTTGTAGCATTATCATTTGTAGATCCTATTTTGCAGGGCGGAGCCCCTCAGGGTCACCACCTAAAATATTCGCTTCATATATTCTTCAATAGCAAGGTATTATTAATTACAAATGTCATCGTTTTTAATGTAATATTTATCTTCATATAGATGGAAATATGTTGAACTTCTGTCACACTGTACGTAGCCAAACGCGCTAATCGGATATGCAACGGGAATTCTTTCCGGAATTCAAACAATAAAACTCGTCATATTATTATTCCAATTGACAAGTGTGTTGAGTTTGTGTTCCTTGGTAATCAAAGTGTAGTCTCAGCAGCATTCACCACAAGCTCTCAGTCGTGGTGGCTGATAGAGCAATGAAGAAGAGAGATACCGATCCGCGAAAATGAAAACGCGTGCAGCTATTACCACGTGGATAGAGTGTAAATACGCAAGCAGATGGACATGAAGAGTCGCTAAAATCTACAAACTATGAACTATTTTTTTATTTTAACAGGTAAGGTCCCATTAAAGCTATGTAGCTCTTTTTCAGATGCGACCTGGCCACAAACGATAGCTCAATTAAGTGGCTTATCACGTGGAAATGTATAGCAGCCACGTATTATAAACGAATGTTGATTATAAATGTGGAGGGGCACAATTGGAGGACCCGGAGGAAAATCTACACGACCACGGCGAAAGAGAGAACATGCAAACTATAGCCCCGCCCACTTCCTCATCATGTCTTCACAAGCAGCCTCCCACTTCTAGCCCCGCCTACTTTCCCCTCGTGTCTTCACACGCAGCCTTCCACTTCTAGCCCCGCCCACTTCCTCATCATGTCTTCACAAGCAGCCTCCCAATTCTAGCCCCGCCCACTTCCTCCTCCGGTCTTCACACGCAGCCTCCCACTTCTAGCCCCGCCCACTTCCCTCTCCGGTCTTCACACGCAGCCTCCCACTTCTATCTCCGCCCACCTCCCTCATGTATTCACACGCAGCCGTCTACTTTCAGCCCCGCCCACTTTTACCTCATGTCTTCACACGCAGACTCCCACTTCTAGCCCCGCCCACTTCCCCCTCATGTCTTCACACGCAGCCTCCCACTTCTAGCCCCGCCCACTTCCCCCTCCGGTCTTCACACGCAGCCTCCCACTTCTATCCCCGCCCACTTCCCTCGTGTATTCACACGCATCCGTCTACTTTCAGCCCCGCCCACTTCCCCCTCACGTCTTCACACGCAGCCTCCCACTTCTAGCCCCGCCCACTTCCCCCTCATGTCTTCACACGCAGCCTCCCACTTCTAACCCCGCCCATTTCCCCCTCCGGTTTTCACACGCAGCCTCCCATGTCTAGCCCCGCCCACTTCCCCCTCGGGTTTTCACACGTAGCCTCCCACTTCTAGCCCCGCCCACTTCCTTCTCACGTCATCACACAGAGCCTCCCCACTTCCAGCCCCGCCCACTCCTCCCTCATGTCTTCACAGCTTCAAATCAAGATCAAACTACACATATACAGGCATCAAGGTCGGGTTCGAACCCACGACCTCCTGGATTCCACTTGGGGCAGATTATTTGGCAGCTATGAATGTCCACATGGTCGCATCATAAAAAGAGCTATTTACCTAGGTGAGCATTACCTGGTAAAAAAATAATATGAAGTTTATTTTTAGTTTATTTCAAACATGCCAAGTGAAATTGAATATCTCAAGAATATTACCGTCGGGACATTTACGAATAGGTTATTGAATAAAATAAATAAATCAGATTCAAATCTACATTTTAAGATAAAGTTTATTGTGTTTAACGAGGTGGATATTCAGGACACCGGAAAGTCATCTCACGCGCAAGAGCTTGGCCTAGAGTCTGCCAGGAGGGGGCGATGGCTGCTGATACGGGCAGTCCACGACTCACGAACGGGGTTACGTTAGGAAGTCGGCAGGTTCGTAAGTTGCAACACAATAATGTAACGGATTTAAATGTCCATGCGGTCAGTGGTAAGAAATGCGTTTTGGTTAAACACAAAGGGAAGCATTGTTAAACTCATAAATAAGAAATGTAGTACATCTGCATGTAACACTGTGATAAACTCATAATTAATAAATGTAGTACATTTGCATGTAACACTGTGATAAAATACTGTCGATGTATAATTAAAGACCTTCAGGAAAAAACCTTAAAATCCGTAATTTTTCCATTTTAAGGTCCCCAAATCTCGATTTGCGACGATCTGTGGTCCCATCGACGTGATAATGAGCGCTTTATTTTCTGGCAGCGCAAGCGCACAGCACCTCGCGGTCGTAGGCGTCAGGTTCAGACCACACGTGGAAAACACGTCGAAGAGGGAACCGCAAAAGACGAACACCCAAGCGAAAAACTTTCCGCTCAACGCCAAGATGGGGAAGTTGGAAGGCCGAATTTTGGCATAAAACGGCACACGAGGAAGTGAGGGTTGAGCAGTTGGAGAAGAGGCTGTCGAGAGCGGTCTCCCTGGGCATGGCCGGGTCGTGCTGTTGGTCACGTGCCGCCTGTCTCGTCGCTCTGTGGGCTGCTGTCGTGAGTGAGTAACTCCCGCTGACTGGGCACTTTCTTTTCACGCACAGCTCCGAGGTGGCCACGGGTTTACAGATCACAGAGCGCATGGTCTGCACCCCGGAGTTCCTGGGGTTCTAAATCCGCGCTGCTGCCCGTTATTACACCGGGTTCTCAAGTGTAGCGAGTCGATGGTCTAAGCTCAGTCACCCGTGCCTGCACTTAATTCGATTAATTTCAGCGCTGAGAATTAAATAAATAGGTGTTCCTGGCTGGTGAGGACAATTACTAATACAAGGAGTGGGTGGGGAGGTAGACGGGTCGACTACGTGAACCAGGTCACTTGGAGGAATCTCAGAGGTAACTCTGTGAACTCCCTTTCTGTGGATCGTTCTCCAACGGGAAGAGGTTGGCACTCCCTTGCGAGACATTCGAATGGACACTTCTCATGACACAACACCGATTGCGCAATCGGGATAGCAATGATATATTTTATCGTATTAAATAGTATACTGAAAAAAAGGGCAGATGTCAAGTACGGGCGAAAATTATCAGTGGGGGGAACTTTGCTTTGTCCTGATGAATGCATCTCGAGAGAAGATATCCAATGACGCTCGCCAGTTTGCAACGCCACCAACTCTCTCATCGCAAGGTGCCTAGGGGCAGGCTGAGCCATTGGACAGCCAGATCGTGTGCGATAATCCATCAGTGGAGGTGCTACCCGATGCTCTCTACCAACTGATATCTGAAATCCTATCTGCCAGCGACAGCTTTAAGTTAATGCTTGTGCTTACATTTCCTATCCTTTATACTCTTGTCGTGTTTTTTGTATTGTTTGTTGTTGTTACTTTCTGACCCTGTGCCCCCTACTGGACATCTGTGAAAAAGAGCTGTATTGCTCATCGGAATCATCCTGGAGTATTAACAAAATAATCTGGTTCAGATTTAGGGGTGGACAGAGGCAGGCGGAAGTGAGGAAAGTGCCCATTGTTCTGTCATGCCAGGGGATAGAACTGGCAACCTTTGGATCGCAAGTCCGGGCACTAACCAGCTCACCGCAGCAGCACCCCCGTTATTTTAACAACGGAAATACAAATAAAGATGGTAACAAAGTTTATCAGATTTTTTTCCAACATACTTACATGTTATTATTTATCCTGATGTAACATTGGATGTGTTTCTTAGCAACATATGAATGATGTTGAGTTTTGTCACGCTTTGCAGGCAATGCCGACCCAAAATACGTAGATGATGCCAAAGCGAAGTATCATCAAACTATCCTGCTGCCCTGTCGGACAGAATGCCATGGACCTGTTATCGTTGATCGATGGAATATAGACATTAATGGTGTATTTCAAGACTTTGAACATTTGCATGACAAAAACATTGGCAAAACCAAATACATTGACAACAAAAACGCTTCCCTGACCATTCAAAATCCTGAGTGGGAAGGAATGAGATGGTACAGATGTTACTGGTCATGTCAAAATCAAGACTCTCTTAACATGTATTCTGATATATCTATTTTTCTAATCAAAGGTAAGTTACGGATTATGCAACTTAACACGCCCACTTAACACAATATATGAAGAGACATGAAACTGACCAAAAGTCACGACACATTTAATTTATTTATCTAATTAAAGTTTTCTTTGTTAATCTATTTAACTGATGCAGGTTCAATGGCACATACGCTGTAATCAATGCAACTCAGTAATGCTAAGATATACGATTGTTGAAGGAGTCGATTACTCTACCGATTATCATTTCGAATGCTCGACTAATCAGAAAACAGTAAAAGTTTGGAGAGAGAAAAAATATCTCACCTGTGTCCATATGTGTGCCGCTGGACGGAAAGTGATGGGCGAGGCGTGCGATGTCATTTGGCATCACCAGCATAGCTTGTCGGGAGTTTACTGCCAAACGCCATGTGCATGTCCTCTGCACTGAAGGGCTTTGGCATGTTGAATGTTGTTTTACCTACTCTTTGGTTCTTTCGGTACAGTCACGTAGGTATAAAATCAAATTAAAATAAACAACATCACGACGTTTCGGGCGCGACACAAGTGCCCGTCATCAGGAGGAAACAACCCCAGCAATAACCAAATTGCTGCAATAGGCAAAAGGAGGCTGCTTGTGACAACGAGGTTAAATATATGTAAGAGGGGGGGGGGAGGAGCCAGGGAGGAGAGATAGAGGGGGGGGGGGGTGTGGGATGGGGGGAGTGGCGAAGTGCAAGCTCCAACCTGAGCCCGAGTACAACACAATGAGAAGTGCGAAGTCCAACCCAGGCCCGAGCTCGACACAATGCCGGGCTGGGAAGTGAGCGGGAATGGAGGGTTGGAGGCTGAAGAAACTGGCGATGCGGATATGAAGGCAAACTATAAATCAGATAAGGTTTTACCTTTTTAATAACATCCTTCCAATGATTTCTCAATTTGTACCCATCTTGTCGGTTGAAGTTATGTCTATGTTTATATATCTGGATGGCTTCATGAACAAACCTTTGATAGTAGCCCGAAGGTTTGCAGAGCAACTTTGTCTCGGAAAAAAACGATATCCTGAGAGCCCACAGCGTTATAGCAATGGTCAGCCACGGCGGAGGTATTAATCCTGCCGTGTTTCAGATATGACTTGTGCTCGTGAACACGGCATATGTCGGACCGTGTTCGCGAGCACAAGGCAGAACTAATACCTCCGCAGTGGCTGACCATTGCTATAACGCTTTGGGCTCTCATGATATCGTTTTTTTTCCAATACCAAGTTGCTATGCAAGCCTTCGGGCTACTATCAAAGGTTTGTTCATGAAGCCATCCAGATATATAAACATAGACATAACTTCAACCGACAAGATGGGTACAAATTGAGTAATCATTGGAAGGATGTTATTAACCAGGTAAAACCTTATCTGATTTATAGTTTGCCTTCATATCCGCATCACCAGTTTCTTCAGCCTCCTACCCTCCAGTCCTGCTCACTTCCCAGACCCGGCATTTTGTCGTACTCGAGCTCGGGTTGGAACTTGCACTTCGCCACGCCCCCTACCCCACACCCCCACCCCCACTATCTCTCCTCCCTGGCTCCTCCCCCCCTCTTACGTATATATAGCCTCGTGTCACAAGCAGCCTCCTTTTGCCCATTTCAGCAATTTGTTTATTGCTGGGGTTGTTTCCACCTGATGACGGGCAGTTGTGTTGCGCCCGGAACATCGTGATGTAATTTATTTTTAATTTTATTTTATGCTTACGTGACTTTACCGAAAGAACCAAAGAGTATGGATCATTGGAGTCACGAAAACATCAGATCGAGTTTTTTTACCTATTTAATTTTGAAAATTAAGGAACTTGTGAATGCTGTTGTGACTCCAGAACAAGGGTTTAAATCAGTGTGTACCACCTATTGTGACGTGTGGGTTGTAAACATGGTCATGAAAAAAACAAGTGGAACAGAAGCTGAAGAGTGCACAAAAAAGCACTGAGAGATGTATACACTTGGATTTACTTTTAAAGACGGAAAGGGGGAACGCATAGATTCGAGAACATACACAGGTTAGTGATTTTGTTCAAACTGTTAAGGACAGTAAGTGGACTTTGGCAGCACACGTCACGAAATGAAACTATTTAATTTTTTAAAAATGTACATTTATAGGTCAACAAAGTGGATTATCACGCGGAAATTCACAGCAGCCACATTCTCTAAACGCCTGCTGATTCCAAACACTGGAGGAAAAAAAACGGAGAACCCGGAGAAAATTTCACGCCACCACGGGGAGAGAGACACACTCCAAATATGCAGACATCAAGGTTGTGATCGAACTCACGACCTCCTGTATACTAGGCGAGGGAGTTAACATCTTGCCACCTGGGCATTGGGTGGGGCTATTTGGAGTGTGGGCCGGACGGCGTGAGTAGTGGGCAGGGCTACGTGAGCAGTGGGTGGAGGTGGAGAAGAGAGTGTGGCCAATATCAGAAAGGGTCAATCACTGTGTGGGTGGGGCTAGTGGGTGAGTAGGCGTGGCTCTTGAAAAGTGGGCGGGGCTGATGGAGGGGCTGCCGGCCCACCAAGTGTCTGAGTTGAGCTTCGCAGACATTTGGGCGCCTGAGACAAAGGGGCACTCGGAGTTTGATTATTAAAGCAATGTTGGTGAAATGTGCTTATGTATGTCTGCAGATGTTAAGACGAACAACATTATCGGTGCTAAAGTTGGTGAAAAGATCTCGATTCCCTGCCGAGGCAATTCTGAAAGCAGAATCACTGAAAGCGTTGAATGGCACTTTGCTCTACCAGGACAACCATACTACCCCGTCAACATGGTCAGTGGAAGAAAACACTCCATCGATAATAACAAATCACTGCTCATTCACAATCTCCAGAAGAAAGATGCAGGATTTTACCTGTGTGAGCTGAAGAATGTCAAGGATTTCTACGAAACGAAAGTCAACATAATCCGAGGTAATGCATGAAAATGAAGCTACATTACGACACGTGGACACAGCTTTAGGTTACGAATGATTTTGTAAAAAACAAACCTGCTAGCGAGTCGCCTTTAGTGGAACCAAGACTCAAAAATGCCAAACGTCAAGCAAATGCCCCAATTGACACAATTGTGAGTGCATGCTTACGGTCATGGTATCCACCATATGGATATACTACGATACATCATGAAGTAAAATAAATAATGTATAGTGTTCGGAATAAATCTAATTAATTTTTCGCGGAATAGAAAGTACGTGGGTCGTAAAGATTATAGATTGTCAAGTGAGCATGATGAGACTCGTGGCCGGCTAGTGTTAGTGAACTGCAGTTGGGGAGCGTTCACGCCACAAAGTAAATCTTCATCCGTGCCGGAAGTACAGAAATGCATGAAAAATGCAATGAAATGTTAAATATATTGACAAAGTTACAAGAAACTATAGCGTGATAATCGTAATATCGTGAACTTTGTTGAAACTGGAAACCTAGTATGAACCAATTGTCTGAGAGGAGGCGCTTACCTCCAATAGGCAATGAAATCCAGCCTCACCCACTTCAACACCCAAGGCCATTTAAACTCGTATCTATGAACAAAAAGTAATAATACACAAATAATGTAGCAAATACCTTCGTCCATCACCAACTCCTCAACGTACCACGCGGCACGCTCCACTCACCTGACACTCACCTGACACTCACCTGCACCGTTAAACTTATCGATGCAACCTGTGTGGAAATTGTTTGAACAATAGCGCTCCAAGAGATTTATGTGAAGCACAATTACTACAACATGAACAACAAAACAATTCAGACCTTTGCCAATCTGCTGCTGGATGAAGGCCACCGCGCACCGTGTGATCGTGGGTAAAGTTTGACCATACTTCACCACGCTGGTTAGTGTGAGTCTTGAAGCAGAGGGGCCCACGGCTGACTGAGAAATTGCTTATCCCTGATCTTACGTATGGCTGGCAAAGGAACTTGGGCTACGCGGTTCATTGCCCAGTGTTCTATCCATCGTGCCGCCATTGTCACACCGCCTTTTAAATCGTTCCGGTTTTCAAGAAGTGTTCAGATCGTTGCTAAGCCGTAGCGCTTCCACCAAAGTAGAAGACATGCACTGCACACTGCACATACCAAGGCGAGTGCGACAACTGGATTAACACCTTGGCATGTTTTAATTTGACATTTTTCATTATTATTACTCAACAGATCGTCCACCTGCCACCACTCTTGCTTCTTCCACTACAGCAAATGCAGGTGATTATATGTCTTTAATGAGTAAACTTTACACATTTTAGCATTCATAATAGTATTCGCCATGGTGTTTGAATAGAAATACCCACAGGAATATCATCATCAACCGTTCTTTATCCATTGCAGGATGAATGTGTTCCCAAATTGTCGGTACTTTCCCAACAATAATAATTCAAATGTATAATGCGCAATCCATCCCAGGATTCCAATGTGCAACAAACTAAACGCAAAAATCAGTTCCGAAAAATTGAGTTTGTCAATGAAGATGATGATTAAAAATGCATAGCTCCCAGTGGCTTCTTAATATCGGAAGGAAGAGCATTCCAGACGGACACAAAACTGCATCTGAAAGCGTCGTGCGATTCGGTGACCACCGTCTTTGATCGATGGCTGAGCCAAAAGCTGCTGCAAGGACGACCGGAGTTGGCGTGATGGTTTATACTCATTTACGAGATCAGCGAGGTAGTGTGGTTCATTTGTGGCAAGTACTTTGTGTAGTGTTTGACTTTACGCGGACAACTTTGTCTTTCTTCGAACACCGCTTTATTTACAACATTCAACGTCCTCCACACTCCACAGTATCCTGGTCACCACGGCTCACTCACCGTGCTCCGCTCGTCTCGCTCACTACCTTTGTCTCCCCACTATCACTTCACTTGCTTCGTGCACAAGGCGTCTAAGCACACAGCGACTTTGCACACTCCGCACACTGCTAACTACTTCATCTTGCTTCAGCTTCGCTATCGCTACGCTCACTCCAATGCTAGCTATGTCGTCTTGCTTCACACTCTGTTCCAACTCAGTCTCCAAACTCCGTCTCCAAACTCCGTCTCAAAACTCCGCCTCCAAACTCCACCTCCAAACTCCGTCTCCAAACTCCGCCTCCAAGCTCCGCCTCCAAGCTCCGTCTCCAAACTCCGTCTCCAAACTCCGTTTCCAAACTCCGTCTCCAAACTCCGTTTCCAAACTCCGTTTCCAAACTCTGTTTCTACGCTGTTTCCAACTCCACGTCTTCCTCGTCCAACTCCAACTCCCCACTCTCTGTGTGTCTCCCCCAATTTATCCCAATTCTCATTATCGCTAATTAATTGGCCCTCTTGCCTCGCACGCTTCGCGTCCTCAAACACCTGCCTTTCTCCAGACATCTTGACGCCTTCTCGCCCTTGACAACAGCCACAGCCAATCACCGTCGTTGCTGATCCTCTGGCTTAATTGGCCCAACAGTAACCTCATCATCCCAGCCTTTGCACCTGGCTGTCCTAACACGACCCACACTGTTTTCGCCTTCTCCACAGGCTGACCCCAGATAACCCACACTGTCCGTGTGATCATGCAATCGCGCAGTTTCCACAACACACTTTCGTTCTCCACTACATTTGTAATGAGTGCGACATTTTAATATATGAATAATATTCATTTACTTTTCACACCGATGGTTGTTCAATGGATTGCTTAGTTTCCTCTGTTTAGGTGATATACCACATTACAATCCACCATCCCATGTCTTTGCTTCGATTTAAGTTATTTCGATGAATGTTCTGGTTTTCATGAACGCATCATGGGCATAATACCGGGCTATGCCTGTTTTACTTATTTGAGTATTAATCAAAGCAAAATATTCCCCTCCTGGCAGATTCTACTCTCCTATTAAACGACGCCTTGTCGATAACATTGACACTTTAAGAATGCCACTAATACCACATACATATATAATTGTAAATCGAATTGGTAAAAAAAAAACGTGCAACACGTGTTGGCGAGTGCCGTACCAGTAGCAGTCTTGCAAGTGCCGTGGTGCTGACATTCACAGTTGCACAGACACATACACATAGCTCCAGTTAGGCTCTGCCCCTCTCTGCAGGACCATCTGGGGTGGACCTCACCCCGGTGTACAATCGCTGTCTCGGTGGTCGTGTGCATAGCGATCGCGTGCGGGGCTGCCTGCTACGCCCGGAAGCAATGGAAGATCGGGGTCCGTGTCACCGTTCGCAAAGCCACTGCTCACACGTAGACATCTCAATGCATCATTGCAGGTGGCACGGAGGTAGCGACAGAGGCTGCCAATCATTCCCAGCTTGGCCCGGAACAGTCTTTTGGCGTTCTCTGGCCATAAAAAAATGCTGTCTCTAGTGTAGGTCACGCAGTTTCAAAGAGAATACGTATATTTTCAGATAATGTTTGTTTGCAAGTTCACAACAAGTGCTGTGTGTGGTTAATGCAGACTTGATTACGTGCAAAAGTATGTATTTGGTATTCAGACATTATAACACCTTCTGGTAACACCTGTTCTTATTTTTCATTGTTCCATTCTTAGGATAAATAAACTGTCCCGGTATTCTGAAGCTTTCGTTAAAATTATAATTTCAATAAAACACTTAAACCAGGGTTCGTGCTACGAGCAATGTGTGTGGGGCCAGGTCCCCTGTGAGCATCGCTGTAGAATCAACGTCGGGGAGATGTCGAGTGACTGCCAACTCACCAAGTGTTCCGATTGAGCTCCCCCTTAATTAACAAGAGATTGAATTCACACACAGATTGGTGAGAGTGTACATTTGCTCAATAACTTGAAAGATGACAACAACATGTTGGTATCTGATTAACAAACGCGGTGGAAAATTGGCAAAGCCGCTGCCTTTTTTTCATTTTGGAAAAATTAAAATCGGTCCAAAATAGTGTGTGTTTGTGCATATAAACACATTCCTGCGGTGGGAGCTGGTAGGAACGTTGGGTTGCTCGGTCAATGGCCAGGGTCAACGGCGGCGTGGTGTATTCCGCAAATATGCCCGACTGTGAGGGTGGCAACAAGCTGGCGTGAGTAGGTTAAACGTTGAGTTTTATAAGGGCACCACGGGGTGACCAGCCCCTCCCGACCCAACCCCACCCCTCCCACCCCCCACCCAGCCCCACCCTCCCCACCTAGCCCCTCCCTCCCCACCCAGCCCCTCCCCACCCTCCCCTCTCCACCCAGCCCCACCCCTCCCATTTTTGGATGCACGACGGACGGACACAATAATCCCCTGTGGGCTAGAGTAACCAGAGGTTCCTACCAGTATAACTCTCCGTGTGTTTAACCAACAGAGGAGCAACAGGGCAGACTCGGCCACAGAAAACGCGGACCGCACCTACACGTCGCTGATAATTCCGCCCCCTCTCTACGAGACCATCCATCCATCGGAAACGGAACCTGAAGAGGAATAGGCAGATGTCGTGTTCATTGGTAACTCCCCCTACGTGTGCTGTAACGCATATTTTCTAGATGCTACCCACCACGCGCCACAGTCTTTGTTCAGCCTGCGAATGCATCTCACGTGTTATCGCAGACTGTGCTTTACCCCATATTAAAAATTATAACGCGATTATTCCCGAACGCGTTGTTCCTAAGGAACGCATCTACCGCGTTATAGGAGAAGGGACTCTGCAGTCATTAACGTCAGTTCACTGATGGAGAAGCACCTCAGCAAAGCTAAACGATCATGGAGGTTATCCGGGCTATACCGTAGTACACATGCTGAAATGTTGAAGGTGGGGAGAATAGACTTTTTGCGAAGGGTTAGGAAACACCAATGCATTCCTCTGCACTGGTCTCTACAACACGAGTACAACTCTTCAATACTCGCCGAGCTTCTCCACACTACTCATTAGGAGGATTCTGCATTTACTAATGAGCTCGCTATATACCCACTGAGGCTCGCCACATTACCAGAAGGCCTGTGCATTACTATGTTGTATATGCCGGGTATGAAAATTTGATGAAAATAATAAAAATTAAATGAAATTTGGAAAAATGTGTAATTGTCAGAAATTATATTAATTGATGTAATTATGCGCATAAATTATGCTAGTTTGAGAGATAATCGTATTAATGTTTGCGAATGCGTGCGATTATGCTAATGTACACAGTTATGATAATTAGGCTCAACCTCGTTGTCGAGGGCAGTATTATCAATTGGGATCGTACAAGTATTCTCTCTTTAACATTTACTGATTATGTATTAGTGTTAATGTCAGGTCTCCAAATTCAAATCTCACAGCAGGATACAGTTCTTATAATTAAGATTATTATACATGAACTCAGGAAAGAAACACAAACACTTCTGTGTTAGGCAATTGTAATTTCTAAACAAAACCTTAACACTCTAATATGCGAACTCTCATGCTTGGAATTGTCCACACAGTACTCCAGGAGATGTTCCCCTCATTGATCCATACATTCATCCCTCAATGATCACGTTGTCAATTGGGTAACAGATCAATGATTACTTCAGAGTAACACGAGCATATACGGCAAATCGGAATAAAAGTCCTTACAAAATACTTCTAAATGATCGTATCCACGTAACTCAATGGGCAGCAATGTTCTTCACGATCAGTTGATATTTAATGCACCACCTTGGAATGGCAACCCTTCTTGATTTGTCCCGATATGCGTGTTGTGTGTCTTCGTAAAGCAGATCCCGGGTGATGCGTCGTGTGGGTGCGAGTGTGGGGGAGGGTCACACAAACTGCTTCTTTCTCGCTCTTGCTTGGGGCGTCGGCTTAGCTGCCCGTCTGCTGGCAGATACAGGCTCTTTCCACTGCTGGAGGGGCTGCACCGCACGCGCCCCCTCCTTGAAGATGCTCGATCGCGCTCGCCGCTGGTCCGCTGACACTCTTGCTCACGGGCGGCTGGTCAGGCTCTTTCCCCTGCTGGACGAGCCGAGTCAGCACAACGCTTGTCCGCGGGCAGCTGGCAACCTTGCTTGGCCCTCTCCGCCCTTTCTCGAGGTGGATTGTTTGACGCTGAGAATACTTTCAGCAATACTCTGTCGGCCCATGCCGATCTCAGCACAGAGCATCACCTCGCCCCTCTTCTCTGCGATGCACCACACGCATTGTTGATCTCGAGGCCATGCTCCGGGGCTCGCCGCTCGCCACCCTCTTCTGTCGCTCGCCGAGCTGTCCCTTGTCGAGCTGAATTGTCGAGCTGAACTGTGTGTGTCGTGTTGCTGTTTATATCCGAAAAAATCTCCCCTCTGCGCGTCTCTTGCGAGAGGACAGAAAAACAGATGTTTACTCCGTCATGCTCTTCCCTCGCGGCCGCGCCTGACTGCCTCCGTCCCCTCTTCCCTAGGTGACCCCGGGCGGCTGCTTTACATCAATTTGATGTTGTTTGTGAAATGTCCTTTGGCAATCTGGAGATTTCTAGATAGT